AATAGCATACGGCATCCATGTGGTGGGGGAGGGAGTTTGAGGATGGGGGTGGGTTGCGGGGGATGGAGAATGAGATCCATATTTGCATATGTGGAGTCTGAGGAGGCTGTGGAGACATGCATTCAAACTCAGGGACTGGGAAATCTGGGTTCCCATCCTGATGCTGCTTCAAATGAGTTGCCTGACCCCAGACAAGTCACCATCTTTTTCCAAGTTCTGGGTTCTAGGTTTCTCTGTCATACAGATGAACACTGAAGTCTAAAATCTGTGCTGGACACTGAAGAACTATAAGTCCCCTCCATCCAAACAAGAAGCTACTCATAAAAGTATAAATGGAATACTGCAGAAATCTAATGAGCATTCCTGATCATACTTTCTCTGGTGGGAGTGACAGTCATTACTGAAATAAAGTAGGTAGAGAAGAACAGCCATTTAGCACTTGCTCATACCTCTTGTTGAGAGTAGAAGGCCTTCCCAACAGGCTGCTGGAAGGCCAGCCCTCCCCTTTGCCCTTGCTTTATGTCAAACTAAATACCTTGCGAGGTTCACAGTATACAACACCAAAGTCAATTTTGCAGTGAGGTTGACAAGAAAGTGTTAATAAAGAAAAGACGCAAGTCTTGCAGCCTCTTAATCAGAAGGTCTTTTTGTTTATAAATGTGAACTATAGACCCTTAGGAGTTCAAATCAACCCCACAGAGTCACAAGACCAAAATGGAATTAGAAAATATCCCTCACTGTTTCAGGTTAAACAGTAAGATAGATGGCAAAGGTTCAGACATTTAAGAGATGTAATGAGAAATGTTCCCACCTTTCCCTCCAACTCATTCAAAAAGCCCAGATCAATAATATGAAACAGGAGTATGAACATGGGGTGGTTATAAACAGGCACTGTTTGATGATCAAGGGTAGTTTTGCACATAGAGAACAAGTACAAATAATCACCACCAGAAAGTACTGCTGTACTTCTGATTCACTTTTCAAACAGTTAAAATGTATATAAGTGAAAGAAATCTTAAAAAGCTGAATGAAGTGGAAACAAACCAGCAAATGGCCATATACAATTAATCGTGATGTTTATAAAAGAACACAAGCACTTGAAAATGAAAACTGCAAAAGCGGAGTGGAATTATATACTTGTACAGTTATCAAATTTTAATACAAAAAATTCCAAAGTGCCTTTGATGACCAAAGTCCACACACCTATGGGACTCTTTGGAAGCCAATGGTAAGTTCTGCTACCACGCGGCTTGTTCTGATTCTAAAGAGTGTCAAGAACATGAAATATGTCAGCATCTAGATTCATATTAAAGAGTAGAGCAGGGAAGCTCAGGGGATGGGGGGGCAGCTTTGTCTCAAAGTTAGTATATTCAATAAGGAAAGGAAAATGTATTTCTAAAGCTGGACCTAACTAAATAAAGGCTTCAACAAAACCAAGGTAAATTATCACCTTTAGGTTCTGATTTCTTTTTTTTTTTTTTTTTAGGTTCTGATTTCTAATAAAGGAAATAGAGAGGCATGTGGAAACACTTCCTTTAAAAGGCACAATAAACAGGAAGCAACTACAACTGGAATTAATTGCTTGGGTGGAAACTTCGTTCAATAAGTGAGCTAACATGGTTCCCTTTGTTTTGTTTTGTTTTGTTTTGTTTTTTGCGGTACATGGGCCTCTCACTGTTGTGGCCTCTCCCGTTGCGGAGCACAGGCTCCAGACACGCAGGCTCAGTGGCCATGGCTCACGGGCCCAGCAGCTCCGCGGCATGTGGGATCCTCCTGGACCGGGGCACAAACCCGTGTCCCCTGCATCGGCAGGCGGACCCTCAACCATTGCACCACCAGGGAAGCCCTGTTCCCTTTCTTAAAAGTTTGTAGTATTTACTCCCAGTACTATTCACCTGCCAGGAATGTTACCTGACCAGACTATAAGTTCCTCAGTGTTTCAAGGAATCCCTTGTCTTGAGGGGTCTGACCCACCCGACAGGTGCTTAACTGATGACAAAGATATGAATGGAGCTCTTTTGATAACCTAGTAGGAAACACCTACCAGCAATGTCCTCTTTCCTTTAAATCAGTGATCCGTAATCTTTGGGCATTTCAAACATTTACAGGGTAACCACCATGCTCAGGGGAATATGGTTTCAAGTTATAAAGCAAGATCAGACAGATTAATTTGAGGGTAAATGGCCCATTAGTAAAATGCATGAAAATGGCAAGTCGATTTAAGTTACTTTCCTTGACAACTGTCATAAAAAACATTAGGCTTTAAAAAAAAAAAAGGACAAGAAGTTATGAAAGATGGATCTTAAGATAAAAAATAAACAGACAATATTCTTAGCTGAGGGAGAAAATGCTTTTTACCTTATTTCTTTTTCAACAAAAAAGATTAATTCAGCTTAATACCAAAGGAGGTAAAACTCAGATGTTTTCTTTTATTTAAAAATTATACTTGTTATGATATAAAAGACAAAATTAAAACCACAAGCATCCAGTAGGCTGATGGGTACTAATGTGCTCCAAAAGCCAATTTAATGGAAAACTTTAGTTTACAATAAACATAAGTTGCACTCATACCATAAGACCATTAGAATGCTGACATACCGGACATACACAATACATATTTTTTGAATTAACGAATCGATGAATATATTTACGTTTGTCATGCTGTTATTTCTTTCTCCTTTTTTATGAAACCAAACTGCTAACTCTTACATATTTTTCTATAAATACCATCTAAAGAGAAGAAAGACGGCTGGTATTAGAAACAGCTTACAATTTTATAATGTTACAACTTATGATTCCTCTTCAGTATATCAAGATGGTAGAACTCGGAATTCTCCAGTGAAGTCTAAGGAAATTTTTTTCTTTATAATTTAAAATTGTAGACCATACAGAGTATCTTAACAGCATATGGCCCAGTTTATGTGATCATCTGAGAATAATTCAGTTTCATAGAAAATGCAAATCTAACAGTAGTGCATTACTTCATGCCAACCCTGCTCTCAAGACAACCGCCAGGGACCTCCCCCATGAAATCTATATGCATACATCTATTTAACTTTTATCACTGGCTCACTAAGTAAATATCAGGCTATAGACCACTTAGGTATTCATTATTCGCAGGCGAAGAGCACACGTAAAGGCGGGCTGGTAGTGTCAAGTCATTAACGAATCAATCGATAACTGGGCCCCTGTTTTAGTCTGCCAAAGGAGGGCAAGGATGTGTAGCATCTGGAGAGCAAGCTGTCGATCTGCTGCCAGGGAGCAATCTGTTTACAGCAGCGGGTTCCACATTTACACTGGCTCTCAAGGAAACCTGAAGTTGTATCATGTCTTCTCCGGCTTTAATAGGTGTGAAAACAGATCCCCACTTTGACACTCTTCCTCAGATACCCAAAGGACTGAGATCCCCAAGGACGACAGGGAGAAACGCTACTCTGTTGGCTCCCCGAAGTCTCTGAGATTGAGGCAGAACTAGAAAACATTTGAGTGCCTTACATGATGAGAAGCAAGTCGTTTAATTCTCAAAGCTCCCATCTCTATTGCTTTCAAAGCAAGATTTTAAGCATTTTTTAGGGATCATGTGTATTCACAAGCAGCTAATGCCCCCAAAGTTACCAAAAATGGTTCTAATTTTACAAAAACTCACACTTTCTTTAAGTGTGAGCCCTGTTAAATGCCACCTCCACGGTGCCAGGCCCCCAAGAACATCATTCAACTTCAGGATGATCGCCACTCCCGTCCATCTCACATCACAGAGAGCCAATACACTGCACTGTATCTGAGGCCACCTGCCCAAAGCTTCAGCTAAGAGACAGTGAAAATGAAATGAAGAAAAGGAAGTTTGGTCACTGGAATAAAGTTGAGTTTCACAGCTGCTTCCTCAATTTATACCACGTGATAAAAACGGACGTCTACAAAGTGTCAGCGATGGCAGCAACAGAGCTCAAAAAGTACGGCCCATTTTTCCTTCTCATCATGCAAAACACCAGCAGCAAGATTCAACTCAAAGCCATACAAATGATGCTCTCAATTTTAATTATGAGAACTGAAGACACTGTCAGGTCAAGACATCCTTCCCACTAACAGCAAGAGGGAAAAAAGGACCCCTTCTCACCTCTTACTCATCTGTGACTCGATCTACGGGGAGAACGTGACTATTTGTTTTCGTATGTAAAAGCTAGTATCAGTACACACGCACACCCCTGTCGGAAGCAAGTCGTGCTGGGTTTTAAGTAAAACTGCACTTACCCTCCTGTCTTATTTTCTGGGTGAAAGGTTTAATTAATACTTTACCCTAGAAACAATCCTCATGAGAAACAGCTTTATGGGGAGTGAAAGTCGTAACAGCAAGCTGCTCTTCCTGGCAATGGCAGTTTTCTTACTGTACTTTCCTTCACTTCCATGGAAATCTCAGCCCCCTCTCTTGATGAGTGTGGAGTCCATAAAATGATACACAAAGAATAAGGAAAGCACTGGAAAACATCCTCTTGTTACCTTTTTCTCTTTTCATCTGAGAGGCTCAGAGGACACCTTCATTCCAGAGCACAAATTAAAGCGGGCCCTCATCACCGGAGCAAACTGCGCTGCTAAGTCACACCCATTACTTTTTATTTTTTCCTTTTTCTTTTTTCTGTTTATCAGGTTAACAGCTACAAGCACACACCTCCAGGATGTTAGAAACAAGTTGCAACACTTGTGGTTCGCCCCACCCCCAGCGCCCGGGCAGAAACCACACCCACTTCCCAACCCCCTACCCCACCCCGCCTCTTCCCAGGCCTTACCCTGCCCAGGAGGTTGTCCTGAAGCAGCGTCTCTTGCAGCACCGGGGCCACCTCTTCCAAGCTCAACATGTGGCAAAGGTCGGTGAGTTCCTCCTGTCCCAGGGACCCGGTGCCCGTCGTGTCAAAACTGTCAAACAGCTCCTTGAGTCGGGCCTCATGCTGGTCCTGCTCCGCCTCATCCATCCCATCGCCCACAGCGCTCACCTGTGCGGGACAGAGAGGGGGATGGGTGGTGGCAGCGCTGGAGTCCTGCCACCGCCCCTCCACTAGCCACTCCTACCCCTGCCAGCCCCTTGGGAAGAACACTCTGTGTGTCCCGGTCCCCTCATGCTGGTCCATCGGGACCTTGTGAGGGTCAGCAGGGGAGGTAACACTACACCTCCCGCTCCAGAGGACCTGCCAGATGTTGCAACTTGCCAAGGCGTTTCCCTTCTCTTTCTTCAGCCTACTGCCCCCCACCGTAGTCAGACTGGAGGGCTGCAGCAAAGAGGCACTGCATGAATGCTTCTGATACAAAACCACTCCCTGTTTACATAAGATCAAACACTTCTTACATGAGTTCCTCAAAAAACAACTCAATTAACTTCACTGGTGCAATTACCTGAGGTGTGACAGGAAGAGTATTCCCTGAGGCTCGCTTCAGCCCCAGGGAGTTTTAGGTAATGCTTAGCTGCCTAGAGAAAGGGGAAAACACAACTGCAGCCTTTCAATGAGGTTCGAAGGAGCCACAGACCACCTGTGAATCACACAGAATCTCAGGACCCTCCACTACCTAGACAGTCTCCCCCCTGTACTCCTGGTTAATAGGTCTTCCATCTCTCTGATCCACCCTAACCCCAGACTTTCCATGTTTCCACATTTCATGGGATTTGTGAAAACACAGAGTCATCAATATCTCTCAGAATCTTGTTTGCTAAAAATATATATCATAAAATTCTAGGTCCCTCAATACTTGAAGAATGAAATCTGGTTTTTTGCTTGCACAATAATTCACTTTTAATGTGTTGGGTTTTCCAACGGAAGCCTGAAACCTTCGCATGTGAAGGTACCTTCACAATGATGCAATGGAAGCCAAACAGAACATATGCCCTTGAGAGGGTGACCTCGGCCAGCTCAAACAAGGATCGCAGAACCAGACCCTTGACTATAAAAAGCAGCACCTTTTTAAAAAAGTATTTATCTTGCCAATATAATTTTTTATTGTGATAAAAAACACATAACATGGAATCCACCCTATTCACAACAGTTTAAGTATGCAGTACCGTATTTGTTCGCTACACACGCACTGCTGTACAGCAGATCCCTAGAACTTTCCCATCTTGCATGACTGAAACTCTATACCCGCTGCCCAGCAACTCCCATTTCCCCTCCCCTAGTCCCTGGCAACCAACATTCTACTTTTAAAAGCACACCTTTAACTAAACCGAGTCCTGGGTCAGAAAACTCTTAACTTAGAGGTGATGTTATAGGGAAGATCATTACAGCACGGGAACCACACACGTTAAGATGCTGAACGCGGCCAGACCTGAAAAGAAGCGAGCCTTCTGTAACACATCAGTGCTGCTCTAAGCTGGGTTGCTTTCTTTTCAGAGACAACTGTTCAAAACATGACGAGCTAAAACAGAGCCAACGACTATCCCAAGGGTTTCAGCAGAATGAGGTGAAGTCAGAATATGGATCCAAACAGCTGGGCCACTCATTAAAGCAAAGAGGTAATGTTCTGGTCCAGGCTCCTGGCCTCCCAGGTCTCTTCTCCTAATTATCAGTTTTTCTATTACGGTGCTGCTAGCTCTGGCTGCCTTCCCAGGGTTGGTCTGTTGGGTTAACTAATCACCACGTAAATGTTTACAAAATAACCTGAGAGTGCTAAATAAACATCAAAGCATCCGAAATGAAAAGCCAAGGTGTTAAGCAAAGCCTCAAAAGTTAGGAATTTAGACGGGGCCAAGGCTTAGCTAATGAGGTTCACTTAGCATCCACCCAGTTCATCATCACCTAAGATCTGCTGAGAATCCCCAAGATGCACTGGGATTTTCAGGGCTGCCACAGCTCTCAGACTCACTCTCTGAGTTCTACAGTCCCCCGGGCTGGAATCTGACCAACGTCATAAAAGCAAGACTATTCTGCTTCTGCTTGACTTTACATTTAAAAAAAAACAAGAAAAAGAAAAACTCAAAAGTGAAAGAATTCTAACACTTCCCCTTTTAATAATTATTTTAAGGGGTGGGGATTTGTCCATCTAAACCAATGAAAGAGGACCATAAAGGTCACAATGGTAATGTGTATCTGTTAATCCCATCTTCCTAATTTATCTGCCCATTGGTAACTGTAACCATAAGTTTGTTTTCTATGTCTGTGAGTCTATTTCTGTTCTGTAAATAAGTTCATTTGTACTTCAATATAAAAAAAAAAAGTCTCACAATGTACTGAGAAGTCCCAATCTTATCCACAGCTTTGAATCTGATACGCTATCATGCCCTGCTCTCTGGGAGGTCATTGGATTTCCACTAAATCAAACCTCTTTCATTTCACAGCAACTTTCCTTTGTTATCTCTTTATTTCATCTCCCTGCTTCTCAAGGACTGTGCTTAGTAAAACATTCTTTTGACTTAACAGGGAAAACGGCCCCACCGCTGGAGAACAAATGATCATATGGAAACATCCAAAAGACGTTACATATGGTGACAAGTTGTCAGTACTCTTCTAGCACAGAAGGCATTTTTACTGGCTGATTTTATTCCCCAAACGTTCATCAGTAATTTCATGTGCAAGAATTATTTTTCTCCCCACTTGGCAGAAATTTCTTGAAGGGCAAGGTTCACAATTTCAATTTCTTTTATAGCTTCCCCCAAATGCATAGTACAGTCTGTTCTTCACACCAGGGACTCAGTAAAACATCATGGACTGACTTAGGATATGGAGGTTCCTTACAAGGAAACTTACCCTGAATGAACGCTACAGAAATGAGCATAGGAAGACTTGGAGACACCTACTCCTTCCACAAGCATACCTCTACTTTCCCCATCCAACCCCTTTTCAAAGGCATTTTCAGTCTTAGACATATCCAAGCATAAGTAGAAAGCGAGCACCCACTGCCAGACTGTACCACGTAGCGCCATCTGAAGTTGGTTTCTATGATTTAGTCATTAAGCCAGTGGATTCAATTTTCAGCTGCATTTTTGTTGTTGTTATGGGATATGACTTTGGAGGAGAATCTGTTTTAAAATACTTTCCCAAGTCCCCTTGTTTATAGAATGAGAATAATAATACCCATCTGGTAGGTTGTTCTCAGGGTTAAATATGGCAAGCAAGAGCGGCTAATCCCAGAGAAAGCTGATACAAGAGGGGAATTGAGAAAACAACTAAGAAAATACCTGCGATTTGCAAAGGAGGGGTAAACTGAAGAGGGGTAACTTACATACATCAACAGGTCATAGATCTGCCTTCCTAGAAGCAAAACAGGAGCTGCGGAACGCCATAACCCAGAAAGCAAGAATGGGCGAGGGACATATTATAAACATAAGCCATATCGTATTACTAAATGGTAACAGTAGTAGGTAATGTTCAGTGCTTCCTCAGTCTTCAAAGGCAGATTATTGATAAATTTAATGTCAAACTAAAGCAGAAAGCCTGAAATATAGTTGGAAGTTCAGAAGACACTTTTTTTTTTTAAACTTCTGAGCATTTACTCTAAATCTGGCCTATGCTGAGTACTTAGCATAAATGATTTCATTTAATCCTCCTAATTCTTTAAAGTAGATCTCACATTCCCATTTAATATGTAGAAACTGGGGCTTGGCAAGGTTAAGCTACTTGTCCAATGATACAACGCTAATAATGGTCATGGACCTGCGATTTGAACTCTGGTCTGACTCTATACTATCTCTTAGTCCTACACGTGCACACAGAACACGTGAATGGGACCACTGGAACGGTATCATTGACAAATCACTTATCTCCACTTTTATGTGTTAACCAGCTGAACGGTAACAAGAACTAGAAATGACCATGGAACACTTGGTGGCCATAAACTAAGCTCCTCCAAAATGGAAGGAGGAGGGGTGGGGTTCCTTCCTCCCTATGTGCCTTGATTCATTTATTGACTAATTATAGCCTATGAGACACTAAGGATACACAGAATAAGCATTCTCTTTTTTCTAAAGTAGCTTTGGGATTTAAAGGCAAAGAAGACAAGCACTTTTACATAAATATGATTATGAAGAGTCCTGTGTCTTCGATAATGGGCACAGTCCAGAAACTGATCATTGTTAAAGCACTTCCCCCCACAAATATTTAAGCATGTCTAATCTGTGCAATTCAATGCTTTCCAGAGTCAGAGCCTAGCTGACACTCACCAGTGACAGGAATCTTCCTTAGAGATGAAGGAAGTTGGGTTTTGAATGATAAATCGTCCTTCAAATTGCCAAGGACAATTCCAGTTTTATAAAGCCTGCCACAAACCTGGGCCTCTCATCACCACCTACCTTCCCAGTCAAGTTGCCAGAAGCCTTCATGACTCCTTTGGAATAAAAGGGCCAGTGTGGGCAATATTCTGGAGTTCTAACAAGGGATGATTAAATAAGAGGCAGATGCAAAGAGCCATTAATCATAACAATTACCACCCAACAACCGCCCATAATAAGAACTATTCAGAGTATTTTCCTTCCAGATAACTCAAAACAAGGCTGCCAGAATGAGCAGACCCTGACAGGGAAGTCCATCAGAGACTGGTGTCACTGTGCTCCCTTTGGCAGCCCTGACTCATGAAATCACAGTGCCAACTGGGATCGGAAAAGAGCAAGGTGGAGGTGCTGCTGGGATAATGAAGTCCCCAACATAAGGTCCACATGAAGTGGATCCATGAACTTGTGAACTTTCCAGCATCCAAGGTATAGAAAGGAGCTTCTAAGAATGGCAGACCAGCCAAAGGGGACGTCTGCTCTGGGCCAAAGGGAGTGAAAAGGAGACAGAGTCTGGCAAGGAAAAACCAAATAATAAAATGAACACAATGCCAGAGCCCTAGCCCAGGCCTTTTATTTCCCCTCCAGATGGTCTAGCAGCTGAACAGCTACAAGGAATGTCTGGATGCCCCTCCTGGCTCAGCAGCTTTCCCTGGGTATCATAATAGATGCTTTCGGATCTGTGTTCAGACATAGCTGTTGAGGGTCCACAGTCCAGGCAGTGACCACCAAGTGACTAATTTACTTTATAACTAAAGAGACGAACGTGGACAAACTCTGCTTTGGCAAAGCTTTTCATTCACGCCTTTAGCTTTCACCGTTTGGCAGGTCAGAGCCTCATAAGGCCAATAGTCAAAATAAAATGTTTCTTTTTTCTTCTCTTTTTTGCAGACACTTGAATTTGCTGCAAAGATTTCCAGGCTTACCGTTTTGGACTAACTTCAGCACAACGTGAAATAGTGACGAGAATAAATTCAAGTTTAGCAAAAGCTTAATAGAAAAAGCAATTGTCCCCATTTATGTGTTGATAATAGAATATTTCTGCCCAAAACTGCTGCCCATCAAACTGATTACTGTCAGATAGCCTCCTCTCTGCTCAGATAGCACCTCACTTCTAGCTGGATACTAAAAGCACAAGAGTATCAGCAAGAATAAAATCAGAGTGTAAGAATATAACACAAAAGCTTAAAGGCCACCACACCGGAAAAGAATCATATTAAATTGGAAAGAAAATAACAACCTTTGCTAGCTACAGAAAAAATTAATTTAACTAAGGGTATCCCACTAGCATTTATTCTGAAACATAAATAAGCTTTAGTATTTTACCACCCTGAATGATGTAGCAAACCCAAGCTTTTGTTAAACCTAATAGCTAGGTGGATTACCCAATCAAGTCATTAACTCAGGATGGCTGGAGGAATAAAATCATTAGGTTAGCACATGGTAGATTCAATGACCTGTAATCAGCTACTAAGTAAAATTACGGAAGCAGAAAACAGCTGCATTTTTGCTACTTTCTTAAAAGAGACAGCTTGTAACAACTTTCACTTCTTGAGCCATATTTACTCTAATTAATTTAGAATGCCTGCAGCTCTGACTACCGTTCCCTGGGGTATAAAAATGAAGCACTTCTCTATATCTATAAACAGTATTTTCCCAACTTTGCTTTTTAAGGGAGGATTAGGTCATAAATAGTTCGTCATTTTTGTATCTAGAAGCTTGAATAAATGGTTAATTGCTGATATAAATTGCAATAAAGTGTCCTGATTTCAAATAAAGTTGCTCACTTGCATATTCTCATAATCTTTTAAAAATTCTATTTTATTTGTGAATAGGATAAAAATATCTTTTTGCAAGCTTCAGTAAATCTCTCCAGAAGACCCTGCCCAACAGATGTAAGTTCAATAGCCAGAATTCAAACCACATAATTTATTGGCTTACAAATGAATTGGCACCTATAAAAATAAACCTCCTGAAAAAGCTTCAGGCTGTTTGAATCCCTCTAAAATGATCTGGCTAAATGTGCCAACCCTTTATCAATGTAAGACTGATAAAATGTATTTTCATTATCAACATAAAATGGAAGCACCAAGATTGGTGAAATGATAGTATACAAAGTCATTTGCAGTGACACTTAAACCATTTATTTGAACAACATTTGACTTATGATAAGAACGTTGTCTATTAAGATTGTTCAAAATTCACTGGAGCCCTATTCTTCCCCTCTGACAGTTAACATCTTTTGATATTAAGGGTCCCCACATATCTAAAATGAAAAAAAAAAACAAGAAAAAAGACACCCATGCCATTCTGAGTAAGTGTCTATTAAGATGACTGATCCTTGACATTTTACTGCAAAGACCGTGCCTGCGATGGCTGCCTTTCCGTTGCCCCCTGTAAAGCCTTTTCCTGCCTTGGCAATATCTTTGCTGATGTCCAACCCATTTGGAACATCCGTAAGTCCTACACTTTATCTATACTGCAGTTCAGAATGCTTTCCTCTAAGGAATCACCAGAGACCAGGTGAAAATAAACACATCTGCAAAGAAACTCCCCAGCAGTTTACTTCACCTCTCTAAGGACACTGACAACAGCTGAGGAGACCACAGCAAACTGTTTTATCAGCCAGCCTGTCATGTCACTGTTACACACAGTCTGGGAATTTCCACATCCCTCTTCAACTCCACAGCAAGACCTGCCAATATTTCAGGTCAGCTACCAATACGTTAGCCACTAGGGAAGACTCAGAATTAAGCTGACACAGAAAAAAATACATATCCTTGCAGATTGTCAATCCTCAGGAAACAAGTAAACATATATACATTTATGTTAATGTATTTAAGGGAGCGGGATCGAGAACCTTCCATGGTCTCAGAAGCTTAGCCCATGTGCCTCGGTTGACTTTATTAGGATTCTAATCCTAAAACATGCTTCCACCTCAGTCACAAAAGACAACCATGCGATCCGTTTCGATTTCACAAATTCAGGAGTTAAGTTCTATGGCAAGCTCATCTCAGGAATTCCTCAACACCAGGAGGGGATCTGCCCCAGTCAAGTAAAGAAAGCAGAAGATCTCATAAGAGCTAAGTTGTCTAGAAACAAGGTGCATGGTAGGACAATCTTTCCAGCTCCATTTTACTTGCACCAACTTAGCCCCGGTTTGTCAGGGCTGAGGCTGGGAAATCGCCTCTTCCTATCTCTATCTCTTTCAGCTTCACAGAAAGAGCTTTCAGCAGTAAACAGTTTCCATCAGCTTTGTCCTTTTGTCAGAGACCGGTTTGGTAGCTGCAGAAGCCCAGCCCCTGGAACCCTGGAAGCTTCTGCCGCGACACTCCACACTTCCATTCCGTGGGTCTGGCGGTCAAGGGTTTCAGGCAATAGCCGAGCGTCATTTTGTTCCTTTCTTAGTAGTCGCACTGGGTAAAGTCTTTCTCTGTGCCTTGATCCCTGACACCTTCTACAATGGGTCCAAACAGCTCTCCGCTACTCAGCCCAGACTAACACCTCGGGTTTCCCCAGGCAGGTTTCTCTCCAGTTTCCCAGTCACAGGGGTGCCTGGGTGGCACAAGGCAACAGAACAACCACCCTTTCTGCTCCCCCACCCCCACCCCGGGACTCAAGTCCTCTCCTGGACCAGCACACAGTAGCCGCCTTCAGCTGGCAGCGCGGGTGGGGACAACGAGGGTGGCGGAGGTGCCCAGAGCCGGCTGCGCTGCAAAGCCGGGAGGCGACGTGCGGCTGGAGCGCGGACGCGCCGCCCAGGTCCCCGGCAACGCGTGATGCAGATGCGCCCCCGACCCGCCCGCCCATCGCCACCCCCGGAAACCCCAGACACCCCATTGTGTCCCCGGACAGCAGCTCTCTCGGCCCCCACAGTCCTCGCTTACCTTCTGTCGGCCTCTCCGTTGCGCCCGAACAGCCGGCCGCCTGCCTCCAGTGCTCTGCAAAGCGGGGGAGGACGCTTTGTTAGGGCTCCAGAAGCGGGACAATACTTCGCAGTCGGCGCCGGGGTTCAGGGCGGGCGTCCTTCAAAAGGACGCGAATGGGGACCCGCGCGAGCGTCATTTCCATTTGTAAGGGGCCAGCGCTCACAAAAGCGCGGCTCCTGGGGGCTGCGGTGCGCATCCTCCCCGCCCGCCGGCCCGCTCTCCCGGACCGACCCCTCCTCCGCCTCCCACACCGCCCCCTCCCCGCGGGGTCAGCCTGGAGCGCCCCGGCCCGAGCTGGCCGCCGGGCCACCCGCTTCCTCGCTGCCGCCCCCTGCTCCCGGCCCGCGGGGACGACCACCGCCCGGCCCCAGCCCGGCAGGGGAAGCCCCAGCCTGTTCCGGTGCCTGGGCCGCCAGGGCGCTCAGGGCCTCGCCCACAGCGCGGGGGCAGCAAGAGGCCTCCGCGCACCCCCAGGCCGCGGGGCGGGGGTCCGCGGGAGCGGGCTCCGCGCTTACCGCGTCCCGGGGCTCAGGCGCCTGGCGCTGCCGCGGGGGCCATGGCCGCGGGCGCACTCGGGGCTCGGAGGCGGCGGCGGCAGTTGCAGCGGGACGGCCGCGCCCAGCGCGCTCAGCTCCCGGCTCGGCCGCGGCCACCCGAAGCTTTGGACGCAGGGGAGGAAGGGCCAGGCCCGCGCGGGGAGGAGGAGCCAGGGCGACGCCGGCCCGGGCGCGGCTCCTCCTCCGCGGCCCGCGCAGCTGGGGCCGCTGAGGGAGGAGCGCTGGGCGCCGCCCGGGCCCTCGCGGGGTCCGTCCCCCCCACTCCACCCCTTCCACGGGGACTGCGCATCTGGTGGCCGGAGCACGGAGGAGTCCGGTCCCGGCTTGGCTGTGACCCTGGGGCGCTCGCCTCGGAGATTTGAACTTGGAAGCTCCGGTGCTTGCCGGGGCGCATATGGAGGAGGTCAGCAGAGGTCGACCCCCTTCCGGATAGCTTCTCCTTCCTTCCAAAGGCACCTGCACAAACCCCTCTGTGCCTAGGACACCCGGCCTGCAACGGCTCCGGGTCGGGGAAGAGTCCCCGCCTCCAGCCCGTGGGACTGAAGGTGGGGATCCAGGTGCCTCTTTTTCCCCCAGGCGGCCTTGGATTTCTCAGCCCTCGAGCGCCCATTGGCGGTCATTAGAAGAGGGGTCCAGGAGGCTGAAGAGCTCCAGACTTGACTCTGAACCCTATGGAGCGAGTGCGTCCCTCCTACCAGGTCTAGACTGACTTCCGCACCTGCCCACCATGTCTTCTTAGGCTCCCACCCCCATCCAGGCTTCTGTGGGTGCATCCAACCCTCCGTCACTAGCCACGCGGGACGGATACTCCTTGGAGTCGGTACCGCTCAGGCCAATGATTGCTCGGTGTTTACCGCCTCCTCCCCCCCACCCCTACTCCATGGGCTCCCCCAGAGTCTCCGCTTCTCACTCCCCCATCTCTACATTTCTACACAAGTCTGGTTATTTCAGCAGGAAACTGGAGAACGCTCCCTTGCTACTGAAAGAACAAGGGATAGACGGGAAGGAAACTAGCATTTATTGAGAATCCAGTGTACTGGAAACTTGACAGGAATAATCTTACCTAATCCTCACACCACCTTTGGGAGGCAGACTTTATTATATCCATTTTGCAAATTAGGGCCTTAGAGAAGTTAAGGAGCTTCCTCAGGACCACACAGCTAGTTGGCAGAGCTGGGATTCAAAACCAGATGACATATGTGACAAAAATGCATAGAACAAAATATACAAAAATGAGTGAGCATAAAACTGGTGTCATTTGAATAAAGCCCTAGGATTGTATTGACATCAATTTCCTGGTTGTGATAGAGTACTACAATTATGCAAAATGTTATCATCGGGAAAAATTGGGTAAAAGGTCTATAAGGGATCTCTCTGTATTATTTCTTATAACAGTGTGAATCTACAGTTAACTCAAAGTTTGGGGGCGTTGTTTGCTATTTTTTTTAAGCAAATCAGTCTTATTTTATTTATTTTTAAAATAAATTTATTTATTTTTGGCTGTGTCGGGTCTTGATTGTTGCTGCGCACGGGCTTTCTCTAATTGTGGCAAGCGGGGGCTACTCTTCTTTGTGATGCGCAGGCTTCTCATTGTGGTGGCTTCTCGTTGTGGAGCACGGGCTCTAGGCATGCGGGCTTCAGTAGTTGCAGCACGCAGGCTCAGTAGTTGTGGCTCACGGGCTCTAGAGCACAGGCTCAGTAGTTGTGGCGCACAGGCTTAGTTGCTCCGCGGCATGTGGGATCTTCCCAGACCAGGCCTGGAACCCGTGTCCCCTGCATTAGCAGGTGGATTCTCAACCACTGCGCCACCAGGGAAGCCCCAAGAAGGTCAGTCTTCTTTTAGAACCCAAATTCTATTCCTTCAACACAATGCACCTGGAGAATAAGAAAAAGGAGAGATTCATGCTCCTCTCTCCCGCTTTTTAACAATCTTGTGCAAGCATGCACACACACACACACACTCATGTACTTTATGCATGGTTGTTCAGTCTAGTAATAATTACACAACACACATACACACTCTTTGTTATGGGAATAGCTAACCTGTTACCAGAATCCTTACATAGGTGTCATCTTATAAATAAGAGGATATGTTCATTGGGGACTAAAACAGCCAACAGTCTTAGAAGGTAAGAATGAAGAGTTTTTTTTTTTTTTTCAGAATGAAATAATGCCATTTGCAGCAGCATGGATGGACCTAGAGATTATCATACTAAGTGAAGTAAGTCAGAAAGAGAAAGACAAATACCATATGGTATCACTTATATG